GGGAAAGGTTTTCTCTAGTCGGAAATACTTTCTTGAGGACAGCGTCTAACGCGTCTCGAGCTATATTATTTTCTAAGTCTTTTTTGCAGGTTTATCCGGCCGAATTTCCTCCAACAATCTCAAGAAAGTATTTGGCGTCGGATATGTCTGCACGTGTGATCTCACAAGGCGTTGTCGCTGCACTCATCGCGGCCATGTTATTCTTGCATGTGTGGTGTGATTTAGACTGGTATTTGGATATATCTCTACGTATAATGCTTACTCTTTTTACTTTCCTACTTACAATAAGCCATACTTTAACACCAATTTTTGAGAAAAATATTATTCCTTTATTTAGTGGTAAAATGACAACTATGAAAAACAACAACCCACTAAAATCAAGTTTAAACTTGGTTAGTAGTGATGATAATTTTATTGCGGTTGTTTCTCAAAGTTGTAAAATGAATGATGTGAATGAGTGGGTGGTAGACTCCGGGGCTACCAAGCATATTTGTAAAAACAAAAATGTTTTTACCTCCTATACTACTATGGGAGATGGAGAAGAGCTCGTATACCTAGCGGACTCTAAAACCGTTAAAGTACATGGAAAAGGGAAAGTTCTTCTTAAACTCACATCAGGGAAAACTTTATCACTAAATGATGTGCTTCATGTGCCCGAGATTCGGACTAATTTAGTTTCTGTTTATCTCTTGGGAAAAGTTGGGGTTAAAGTTTCTTTTGGTTGTGATAATTTTGTTATGACCAAAAATGATGTTCTTGTGGGAAATGGCTATTGTAAGAAAGGACTATATATACTTGGCATTTCTGAAATATTGCATGATAATGCTTCTGTCTATTTAGTTGATTCTTATAATGTGTGGCATGCTAGATTAGGACATGCAAGTAATTCTTATATTAAAATGCTAAATGATTGTGGTTTGATTTCTAGTAAAAATAAATTGACACTAGAAAAATGCGATGTTTGTGTTCAATCTAAACTAACCAAAAAACCTTGTCCCTCCACGTTTAGGGAATCAGAATTGCTTAGTTTAATTCACACGGATTTAGGTGATTTAAAAAATACCATCACTAGAGGTGGCAAAAAATATTATGTCACCTTTATAGATGATTTTTCTAAATACACTAAAGTTTATTTGCTTAAAAATAAAGATGAGGCTTTTGATAAATTTTTAGTGTATAAATCCAAGGTAGAAAATCAATTAAATAAAAGGATTAAGAGAGTTAGATCAGATAGAGGGGGCGAGTATATTTTATTTAATGATTTTTGTGAAAAAGAAGGGATAATTCATGAGGTCACTCCGCCATATTCACCCCAATCTAATGGAATAGCTGAAAGAAAAAATAGGACACTAAAAGAGATGATGAATGCTCTTTTAATTAGTTCTGGTGCACCTGATAATCTTTGGGGCGAGGCTATTCTTTCTGCTTGTCACTTACAAAATAGGATTCCTCTTAAGCACAATAAGAAAACCCCTTATGAATTGTGGAAAGGTTTTGCACCTAATTTGAAATATTTGAAAGTGTGGGGGTGTTTAGCTAAGGTCTTATTGCCTGATCCCAAGAAGAGGAAAATCGGTTCTAAGACTTCTGACTGCATGTTTATTGGTTATGCTGAATCTAGTGCTGCTTATAGATTTCTTGTTTTGAAAAGTGATGTGCTTGAATGTGATACAATTGTTGAAACAAAAAATGCTGAATTTTTTGAAAATGTGTTTCCTTTGAAACGTGAACACAAGACCGTTGCACCATATAGTGAGTATGATCCATTACAAGGAAATGAAACCTTTAATGATGAACCCTTTAGTGATAGTGAGCCATTAAAAGAAAATGATTCTTTTAGTGATGAACCTTCTCTTTTGAGAAGAAGTAAGAGGCCAAGGATAGAAAAATCTTTTGGAAATGATTTTTATACATATCTTGTTAATGATGAACCTTTAACTTATTCACAAGCTATTTCTTCCAAAGAAACTCCTTTTTGGCTTGAGGCCATACAAAACGAAATTGATTCTATCAAACAAAATAAAACTTGGATTTTAACCGATTTACCGAAAGGTTGCAAACCAATCGGATGCAAATGGATTTTTAAAAAGAAATTAAATCCGGATGGTTCAATTGATAAATACAAAGCGAGGCTTGTGGCAAAAGGGTTTTCTCAAAAGCAAGATGTTGATTATTTTGACACATTTGCACCGGTAACGCGCATTTCTTCTATACGAACTTTAATTGCCTTGGCTTCTATTCACAAACTTTTTGTCCATCAAATGGATGTTAAAACTGCGTTTTTAAATGGTGAGCTAGAGGAAGAAATTTATATGGTGCAACCGGAGGGTCATGTAGTTATTGGTCAGGAACACAAAGTGTGTAAGTTGATCAAATCTTTATATGGTTTGAAACAAGCTCCAAAACAATGGAATGAAAAATTTGATGAAGTGTTATTTGCTCATGGTTTTACCTCACTAGAAGTAGATAAGTGTGTATACACTAAATGTGAAAATGGTGTGTGCATTATTATTTGCTTATATGTGGATGATATGTTAATTTTTAGTAGCAACCTTGAGTTAATAATTGAGACAAAATCCTTTCTTGCATCAAAATTTGTTATGAAAGATTTGGGGGAAGCAAAAGTGATTTTGGGTATGAAAGTCATAAGGAAGGATGATGGTATTATACTATCTCAAGAGCATTATGCTGAAAAACTTCTAAAGAGGTTTGGACATTTCGATGTCAGCCCCGTGAGCACCCCTTATGACTCTCATACACATTTGAAAAAACATAGAGGTGATCCCGAGGCTCAATATGAGTATTCCCAAATTATTGGAAGTTTATTACACTTGATGAATTATACGAGGCCCGACATAGCTTATGCTGTCGGAAGATTGAGTCGATATACTCATAATCCAAGTGGGGATCACTGGACCGCGTTGAGGCGGTTACTTAGATATTTGAGAGGTACCACTAATTATGGTATATTTTATAGTGGGTTACCCGCTGTACTAGAGGGATACAACGATGCTAACTGGGTCACTGACTCAGATGAGATAAAATCCAATACTGGATATATATTCACCCTTGGAGGTGGTGCCATTACGTGGAAATCAACCAAACAAACTATAATTTCTAGATCCACTATGGAGTCCGAGCTTATTGCTTTGGAAGTAGCCTGTAGTGAAGCGGAGTGGTTGAAATCTTTCTTAGCAGAAATTCCGGTTGGTACAAAACCAATACCATCTGTGTCTATTCATTGTGATTGCAGAAGTGCAATAGATACTGCTAAGAAAATGTGTTATAATGGGAAGAATAGACACATTCGTTTAAGACATAAAGTTATTAAACGATTATTGAAGAATGGAATTGTGTCCATTAATTTTGTGAGGTCACAAGGAAATTTAGCGGATCCTTTGACAAAAGCCCTAGGACGAAAATTAATAACCGAAACATCTAAGGAAATGGGACTAGTGTCACTTGAAACGAATGGGGATGGGAACCCAACTTGTGTGATTGGAGATCCCATGAAGCAAGTTCATATGGGTAATAACAAGTCTCCCATTTAGTTCTGCTAGCCTAACTGAAGTTGTCCATTTCCATGATGTGAGATATAGGCTAGAAACCGCATACTTTGAGAGGATGAGCTAAAAGCTCTTAATGATTATCATAGCCCTTACTTTTAGGGTGGTGTGCAAAAGCGGTACACACTTGATGATATCACCTATATGAGCGTGAGGTGGGGCCGCCTCTATGAAGCATGACAAAACTTCTAGAGCACTCATGAACACCAAGCGCGCGCATGGCCTTACGGCGCACAACGGCGTAATAACGAGAAATTGTGCGGGGTGAGACACGACCGTTAAGACCCTGATTTACCAATAGCAGCTTGTTGGTTCAATAAACTATACGTTTCACCAAAAGCTCGGTTTATTAAGACTTAATCGTCTCGGTTTGGTTCAAGTCTACGGACACCAGATTTAAAGTCTCATTCCTTTAATCCAGCAGAAATTTTCTAAACTAATTTTAAACATCTAAAAATATTCATTTGAAATATGTGGGGGATTGTTGGAAAATTGAGAGTATTTCAAATGAATAAAGCTTTACTTGTTTTGATATCATTTTGTTTTTTCGATTTTAAATTAATTTTACTTATCTATTCGGATTCTACTGATGGTTGAAAATATTTTAACTAAATGAAACGTTCTTAATATTTATTCTTATCTGAACGTTGATAACTTTGTTATTGAATAATCAATTTTAATTGCTATGAACGTTACTATAGTGCTATTTAAATAATATTATTTATTCCTAACGGGCTTACTAGTTAGTGGGTTGTGAGATTAATTCTCAACATTAATTCATCATTGATTTCATTTAATATTTTTGAACGTTAGTCATAAGTACTAACGTTTTACCTGAGCAACAACATTCGACCTTGTCATATATATATATATATATATATATATATATATATATATATATATATATATATATATATATATATATATATATATATATATGAGTGTTCGGCAAGCTAAGTAGATGTGATAATTTTTGAGCTAAAAACATCCCCTAATATTTTCACTCTGCTGGATTAATTTTATTTCTGCTCTCGTTGTTCTGTTACCGGCTTACGCCGAAGAGCTCGTTATATCTTGGGGAAAGGTTTTCGCTAGTCGGAAATACTTTCTTGAGGACAGCGTCTAACGCGTCTCGAGCTATATTATTTTCTAAGTCTTTTTTGCAGGTTTATCCGGCCGAATTTCCTCCAACAAGTCAAACATCAAACAACCATGTATTAGGGCAAAGTGCTTTAAATTCAAAGCGTGTCAAAAGGAGAAATTCATTAAAGTGGTGGCTGAATGCTCAAACATGGTTTATGACAATCATATTTTGGATGTTTGTTTCATTATCCACAAGGCGAAGACGAACACGAAGTATGCGGTATATAATAGACAATCATTCCAAAAGGGAAGGATATTTTAAAAGATTAGTACACGGACCTGAAGCAAATTGCATTTCCCAATTAAGAATGAGTCGTGCTGCTTTTTTCAAGTTGTGTGATATGTTGGTTACAAAAGGTGGGTTGAGACCAACACGACATTTGATAGTAGAAGAACAAGTAGCTATATTTCTACTTGTATTATCCCATCATCACAAAAATAGAACCTTAATAACTGACTTTCAAAGATCCGGGAGAACACTAAGCAAATGTTTTTCTACTGTAATACATGCGGTGTTACAACTTCATTCTACTTTGTATGCTAAACCTCAACCAATTACGATGGAATGCGAAGATGATCGATGGAGAACATTTCAGGTGCATATCTTAATTAATCTATGCACCATTCTATTTCTAACTACCTCATGATACTTCTTTGTAATACTAATTAGTGTAATCTTGCAGAATTGTGTGGGTGCATTGGATGGAACTTATATTGATGTCCATGCATCACCAAATGATCATAATCGTTTCCGTTCTCGAAAAGGAAGGATTGCTACAAATGTCCTTGGTGTGTGCAATCCACAAATGCAGTTCATATATGTGTTTCCTGGATGGGAGGGATCAGCTGCAGATGGTAGAGTTTTGCGAGATGCCCTCACAAGAAGGTTCCGAGTTCCACAAGGTATACACATTTTTATACTAAAAATAAATTTATGAAGTAAATTAATATAAATATTTAAATGTATGCACAAAATAAAGGGTGTTATTGAATGTCCCAATCCAGATAAGGACATCATGATATTTTATGCAAATATGAGATTGTTTCCTCCATTTCTTGATAATGATGTATTGCCCTTGACCATAAAAAATACAATACTTCAGTCGTGTTGTTTCCTCCATTTCTTGATAATGATGTATTGCCCTTAACCATAAAAAATACAATACTTCAGTCGTTTTACTTAAGGAACACTGAGAGGGCTTGTGGAGTTGCTGTTTATACAGGCGTGTCTCACTTCCAGAATTATAGGAGAGGATCACAATGACACCTTTGAGCCTTTAATTTGATTTTTCTTTGAAGAATACGAACTTTTTTTATTATCGTTGTTTGTTGTTGATTTTGGACCCCTGCATTTTACACTAGAATGCATGTCTATATAAATGTGTGTGCTTTCTATATCTTTTCCATTACAATTTAAGTAGCAGTTCATTTATACTGCCTCAATTGATAAGAACAAGTACGAGTTTAAATGATCATCTTAGGCTTTTGACTTAATTCTATTTTTGCAGTTTTGCTTATGAAACATAGAGGCACTTTTGCTTTAACAATATTAGAATTACGCAATTTATGTGTCTGAGGGAGGGAAGGATCTTTTCCTAATGTGGTGAGAAAGAAACAATACGGAGTAATACCTTTATGGTTCTCCAAATATACCACACCGACACATTCCATGTCTCAAAATAATATATCAAAGATTGTGGCTGGTTTCCTAAGTAATTAGAGTATATAGTGTTAAGTAATTATTATTTGAGTCCCTCCTCTGGAAGAATAGTTATCAAATTCAGATTGAACTAAATACCAATTCTTTCAGTGCGGTGGACTCAAATCTTGATTATATAAGACTTTTAGTCACACTTTTTAATTTGTTTTTGATTAAAAAAGAAAAAAAAGGGGCAAATAAGCCCACGTACTAACCAAAAAATGTCAAATAAACTCTTATATACGAGGCTCTGTCCGGCCGTCGTCATTTGGGGCGGTCCCCGGTGGAATTTGTTGATGAAATTTTTTGAGCATCTTATTCATTAAGTCTAGTTTACTCATACCAAATTTCAGCTAACAATTCAATCGGAAAGGCATTCAAATGAATTCTTGAAGGTAACTGCATTTGAATGCTTTCCCGATTGAAGTTTTAGCTGAAATTGGGTATGAGCAAACTAGACGTCTAGACTTAGTGAATAAGATGCTCAAAAAATTTCATCAAAAAATTACACCGGGAACTGCCCCAAATGACGACTGCCGGACAGAGCCTCCTATATAAGAGCTTATTTGACCTTTTTTTGTTAGTACGTGAGCTTATTTGCCCCTTTTCTCAAAAAGACGGTATACATAGTACCTAGAGGCGGACCCACTAAGGGTCCCACGAGGGTCTTGGGACCCCATGAACTTAAAAAAATAGCTTTATATATTATATATATTACTACCTCCGTCCCGGTAGACTTTGCCAAGTGCAAAGTAGATGGGAAATAAGAATAGTAAAAACTGTGTGGTTGAGATTTGTGCAGAGAGAGAAAAGTGCAGAACCACAAATTAGTTTCTTTAATAGGAGAGTGACAAAGTTTTGTGGAACAACCAAAAAGAGAAAATTGGCAAAGTCCAATGGGACGTAGGGAGTATATAAAAATTAAATAATCAATACATATATATACAACCGAAAGTGTGACTCTACTGTAGTACTATGCTTTGCTTTAGGCTGGAGGTGCGGGGTCGATCCCCCCATCATACAATTCTTTTTAAGTGAACTTAATAAGCTTCACGCTTCTCATTGTTTTCTTTTATTAAAGTATATAGGGATAAGGGTCAGATAGGGCCTCGAACTCGAAAAAAAATGTCAAATAAGGTCATATTTCGGATGCTCTGTCTGGCCGACGCCATTTGGGGCGGTTCCCGATGGAATTTTTTGATAAAAATTTTTGAGCATCTTCCTCATTAAGTCTAGTTTACCCATACCAAATTTCAGCTAAAAACTCAACCGGGAAGGTAGTCAAATGAGTTTTTGAAGATAACTGTGAAGTTAAACAACGCCGTACATTTCGGAAAATTATTTGACTACCTTCCCGGTTGAATTTTTAGCTGAAATTTGGTATGGGTAAACTAGACTTAATGAACTGCAATTTAAGAAGATAAAGAAGACTCCATTAAGTAAAAGAGGATTTAAAAGGTTAGTGTAGCAGGTAAGGAATAATTTCTCTCTCATATGTAGTGTTTTTTTTGTATAAGATAAACGAATTAATAATAGAACGGGAAGATTTCTATATCATTAGTCCTCTTATATCTTCATATGTAGTGCTTTTATATATATGAATATATAAGAGGACTAATAATTGAGTGAAAAATTTCTTTCTCATATGTAGTTCTTTTAGGTATAAAAAGAAGATAAGACAATATAATATAAGAAGATAAAACGAACTAATAATTGAGCAGGAAGATTATCTCTCTCATACGTAGTGCTTTTTAGTATAAAATGAGCGGATGAAAAATTGAGCGAAAAAAAATTTGTCTCTCTCTCATATGCTGTATTTTTAGGTATAAGATAAACAAACTAATAATTGAGCATGCAGATTTTCTCTCTCATTTGTAGTGTATTTAGATATAAGATAAGTGAATAATAATTGAGCGGAGAAAAATTCTCTCTCTCATATGTAGTGTTTTTTGGTATCATAAAGAAGATAGATCAACGGACTATTGATTGAGCGGGGACCATTCCTCTGACATATGTAGTGCTTTTAAGTATATAAGAAGATAAGAAGATGAATGAACTAATAATTGAGCAAGCTAATTTCGATTCTCATATGTAGCGATTCTAGGTATAACATAAGTGTACTACGGGAGAATTTTTCTCTCATATGTAGTAGTGCCTTTATGCACAAGGTAAGTAGACTAATAGTTGAGGGGTAAAATTTTATCTCTCATACGTAGTACTTTTAGGATGTTTTCTTTTGGACGGTTTTCAGTCCCAGACCAGACCATACCAGACCAGACCAGACCAGACTTAAACAGACCAGACCAGACCAGACTAGACTTAAACAGACCAGACCAGAACAGACTTGGATAGTTATAAAATACACAGAGACCAGACTTTTACCAGACTAGATCAGACCAGTTCAGACCAGATCAGACCAGACCAGACCAGACTTAAACAGACCAGACCAGACCAGCAAATTTCAGTCCAAAAGAAAACATCCTTAGATATAAGATAAGCGGATGGACTAATAATTGAGCAGGATAATCTCTCTCTCTCTCTCTCTCTCTCTCTCAGATAACATATTAATAATAGAGCGGGGAGATTTTCTCTCTCATACGTAATGCTTTTGGATATAAGAAGATATAAAGAGACTGATAATTGACGGGAAAATTCTCTCTCATATGTAGTTCTTTTTGGTATATGAAGAAGATAAGATAAGATGAGATGAGATGAGATGAGATGAGATGAGATGAGATGAGATGAGATGAGATGAGATAAGCGGATTAATAATTGAGCGGATTTTCTCTCTCTCTCATACGTAGTGCTTTTAGATACAAGAAGATAAAGCGTTCTAATAATTATTAGTTATAAGAAGATAAACAAACTAATAATTGATCGGAAGAATTTCCTTTCTCAGATTTTCTCTCTCATGACCTTTTACACTTATGTGAAGACATTTTCCTATCAATAAATATCCAGCTCTATTAATGGAAAAATATGAAAATTGATAATTTTAATACATGATAAGAAAATAAAATCATTAGATGTTCCCACTAAAAGTTTTCTTCAATGTAGTTTTTAAAAACTCTAACAATTAAGTTCAATATGGCATTATCCATTTCCAACAATACTAGATATTACGAAGTAGGGCTGGGCATATCGGTTTTCGGTTCGGTTTTTATCGGTTTTTGTTCGGTTAAGAAATTGAGATCATTAAATTCAATTTTAACCAAAAACGAAATATATTTTACCGTAGTCCCGTCAGGAAGATTTACACGATTACCCTCTCTCATTTGTCTGTGGGCTTTTGACACTTCAGGAATCACTACTATATATTAAAGAATGTATCACATAATTGTAGACTTCATCATATGAAATGTCCAAACACTTATTTGATTAGTTGTCTACAATCATGTACATCATAAATTTCAATTGAGAATGCAAATAGATCATGATGCAACTCTATCTTTACGGTATTATATTTCTTTATGTGACATTTCAAATCAGTAGATTTCAACTTCAATATGGTTTTCTCTCTCTCATATTTACGTAGTTTTTTTATATAATATAAGCAGACTAATAAATGAGCGGGAGAATATTCTCTCTCATACATAGTACTTTTAGGTATAAGAAGATAAGATATAATGAATTGACTAATAATTGATCAAGATAAATGAACTAATAATAAGATAAGCAGACTAATAATTAATCGGGGGTATTTTTCTTATATATGTAGTGCTTTTTAGGTATAAGAAGATAAACGAACTAATAATTGACCGGGCAAATTTTGACTCTCATATGTAGTACTTTTAGATATGAGATAAGCGGACTAATAATTAAGCGGAATAATTTTCTCTCTCATATGTAGTGCTTTTAGGTATAAGGTAAACAACCTAATAATTGAGCGGGAGAATTTTCTGTCTCATATATAATGTTTTTAGGTATAAGATAAGCGGACTAATAATTTAGTGGGAGAACTTTCTCTCTCATAGGTAGTGCATTTAGGTATAAAA